CCCCGCCCTTCACTACCCAAAGGTGTCTCAGAGCAGCTTACAAACTCCTTTCCCTTCCCCTCCCCACAACAGACACCCTGTGAGGTGGGTGGGGCTGAGAGAGATCTTGACAGAGACTGCTCTTTTTTCAAGAACAGCTCTGACAAGACTATGGCTTGCCCAAGGTCACACCAGCAGCTGCATGTGGAGAAGTGGGGAATCAAACCCGGTTCTCCCAGATTAGAGTCCATGCACTTAACCACTACACCAAACTACAGGTTTGCATTCTTTTTTTTTAACCCGCGTTTGCTCCCTGGGGCCAAGCAAGCTGCTCTTGCCCAACTCGGAAGAAGCCTCAACATACTTAGCTGGGCAGCAGACAGACATTCGCTTAAGGAAAAGAGGCTCCAGAAGAGAATCTGCGTGACCGACACGGCCCGATTTCCCATGGAGCGAGATGCTGGCGAGACAGCTGCCCCGTGAACTGAAGCAGTGCAGAGGGACGATACAATCCGACATGGAGTTTCTCCTAAGTCCCTTGGAGTCAGTGGGCGTCGGCTGGAACAGCTCCGCTTGGGGATGGCAAAAAGAGGCTCCTGCCTTGGGGGGGAGGAGGTTGGGGAAGGTCAAATAAGCAAAGAGCTCCGCAGGGGTGGGAAAATGTCTTTGGCCCGGACGCAAGCCAGATGGAACACTAAAGAAGAGCTCAAAGATCATCTTGACAGTGGAGCAAGCGTTGCCAAATCCAGGTTGGCAAATTTCTGGAGATTTGGAGGTGGAACCTACAGAAGGGAGAGACCTCAGTGGGGCAGAATGGCACAGGGGTCACCCCCCCCCTTGGGTCCCTGTCGTCTGGAGATCAGTTGTGATTCCAGGATAACTCCAAGCCCCACCTGGAGGCTGGCAACCCAAAGCGTGGCCCCAGAGTCTTGGGATTCAAGATGCTCACAAACCTGGCCGCACACAACAATCATCACGGGGTGGGCTGGGGGAACGGACTGGGGGGGGGGGCCTGGGGGCCTGCACCCTTCCAAATGCCATCACTGTAAATAACCGAAGTGTTTGGGGAGCCAGCATGGTGTAGTGGCTAAGAACGGCAGACTCTAATCTGGAGAACCGGGTTCGATTTCCCCATTCCTCCACGTGCAGCCAGCTGGGTGACCCTGGGTCAGTCACAGCTCTCTCGGAGCTCTCTCAGCCCCTAAAAACAAGTCTAGCTCACGCTAAGAGCTAGAACTTGCAGCTGCCCGACAATCTTCGGATCCCCTGCCTATTCTACACACAACGCTATAGTATAATTCATTAATTAACCCCGAGTATTTCAAGCAGGTGGGAATACTGACACGGCAGGTGGCTGATACAGTTTTGGATGCAGAATTCTGTGATGATCAATTCTTTTGTAACTATCAATGCCGACACATCAAACAGGCTTCCTGTTTAACTTTACATAAGCCTAAAGCCCTAAAGGTCAAAGGGGGGGATGGGCACAGTATCTGGTGCACTACCCAATATGCCAGAGCGAGTACTCAACAGTTGGCCCTCCCCCCTTTCAGAAATGGACACATTTGAGGTGGGCACGAAAGCAGGCACTTACGACAGGGTTTCTGGTATGTCTTCTGGTTTCTTGAAACGGCCCGTCCAGACCAAAATCTTCTTGTCCCACTCGGAGGGCTTGTGCCCTGGCAGTTTGAAGCCTGTGGAAAGCACGGGACAGAAAATGCGGCGTCTGAATAATGCTGAGCTGGGCCAGGCTGGCGTCGCAATAGCTGGCAGCGTTGCCGATGCATGGGCCACAACCGCCGCACGGGCTTTGGATTTAGAGAACACAACTTGTGTGGGTGTGTGTCACGGGTAAGAGGCTGAAGCCTGAGAGAGGAGGTGGTGGATGCAACCACAGCAAACTGTCTGGGTGTAGCGGTTAAAGTGCTGGATTTGGATCTGGGAGACAGGGCTGGCTCCGGGCTTTGCTGGGCCCCGGAAAAGAAGCGCTCAGGGCTTCTCTCTCCTCCTGTGCCCAATACCAGCACCCCACCTGACACCTCCCTTCCATCCCCCCCAACCCATGTAGCCCCCCCACCTGCCTCGGAACCCTCCCCCTACATGCTCAGAACCCCTGCCCCAAGCACTTCCATGCCCTGTTCTTTTTTTTTGGGGGGGGTGAGTATTTTGTGTGTATGTGTACATGTGTGTGCCTGGAAGTCATAGTTGACTTTTGGCGACCCATCGTGGGGCTTATTTATTTATCGTTTAGACTTTTAGGCCGCCCTTCCCTGCAAGCAGGGCTCAGGGCAAAGGAACAAAAACACGATAATCCAAGTTAAATTAAACCAGCGTTAAAACACAGTGCAGAGTCATAAGTGAAAAGCCATTCGATGGGGGCGAATAATTTGAATAGGAAACTGAACTAACTACTCAGAGGGGGCAGGTAAGGGGCTTGGATGTTTCAGAGAGGTGGCTTACTAATGCCTGCCTCTGCGTCCTGGCCCTGGTATTCCTCGGAGGTCTACCTCCAAAGTCCTTGCCAGGGTCGGCCCTGCTTAGCATCTGAGATCTGACAAGATTACATGCAGGCCAAAACTGCTGACTCAGGATCAGCTTAAACTCAGCACAGTAACATGAATCCTTGATTGTGATTCTTATTACTGTTTTAAATTGTTGGTTTTTTATACCCTGCTTTTCACTACCCGAAGGAGTCTCAGAGCGTCTTACAATCTCCTTTCCCTTCCCTTCCCCACAACAGACACCCTGTGAGGTAGGTGGGGCTGAGAGAGCTCTGACAGAAACTGCTCTTGAGAGAACAGCTCTCAGAGAACTGTGACTGATCCAAGGTCACCCAGTTGGCTGCATGTGGAGGAGGAGTGGGGAATCAAACCCATTTCTCCCAGATTAGAGTCTGCACTTTTAACCACTACACCATGCTGGCTCTCTAGGTTGGCCTTTGGAGTGTAATCCATGATCGGGTTGTTTGCTAGCGGTATGATGCTAGACACAAAGGTTCCCTTGCTCGAAAGCCAGTCGAGTCCGACTCTAGGGTTGCGGTGCTCATCTCCGTTTCAAAGCCGAAGAGCCAGCGTTGTCCGAAGACGTTCCCGTGGTCATGTGGCCGGCATGACTAAACATCAAGGCGCACGGAACGCTGTTACCGTCCCACCGAAGTGGTACCTATTTATCTACTTGCAATCTCTTGCTTTCGAACTGCTAGGTTGGCAGGAGCTGGAACTAGAGACGGGAGCTCACTCTGTCATGCAGCACACTCGGGTCTCGAACTGCTGAACTACTGACCTTCCACAGCCTGCTGTTCAGCGTCTTAGCCACTTGAGCCACCGCAGCTCCAGCTAATGATGCTAGACATGTTTTAATAGTTCGACATTTTAATGTTAATATTTTACCTTTGTTATCTGTTTTTAAGTCATTTTTAACTGATTTATGTAGTTTTCATGTAAGTTGCCAGGATACCCTTTGGGCGAGTGGTGAATAAAAAATCTAATAAACAAATGAGATAGCCCGCTGGGTGACCTTGGGCCAGTCACACCCTCTCAGCCTGACCCACTTCGCAGGGTTGTGAGGATAAAGTGGAGGAAGGGAGAACAGTGTTTTAAGCCATGGTGGATTCCCATTAAATCAAATGAAAAAAACAACAACCCAGGATTGACGAAATGGCTCAGGCACCACAATGCCAATTAACTGGGGGGGGGGGTTGATCTTTTAAAACAGGGGCCTTTTGCCCTTAAGAACTGTCAGCAACGTAACAATGAAAAAGCAAATTTGAGATAATAAAAAGAGACACTCGAAGAATGCGTTTAAAAGGCCATTTCCGGCTGCAGTGATGTGAGGAGATCTCCAGCTGTGCTGTTTTGGGAACTGGACAGATTTTAATTTTTTTTATGAGAGAGAAAAGGGATTTCACCGGATGGGAAAGGCCACTAAAATTCCCATGGCAGCTACCGTGTTACAAGCAAAGGTTAATGCTTGTTAATTCTCTGCCCTGGGAATCCAGCCACCTTTGGCTGTTGAAGGAAAACTCAGAACACTCTCGGTGCAGTCCCAGGCTGAGTTACTGGCTTCTAAGACCGCTGCCTTCGGTGGACTCTGAAGAGCATCACTTGGATTACGACTGCACTGTTCCGTCTCCCAGGAAAACTGCTATTTTCTTCCACCCCACAGGCATATTTTTAATCCGGACGATGACTATGGCGCAGAACGCGGTGGCGCAGTAATTTCCTGGGCAACGCAACATCTGTCCTGCTCTATCGTCCCTGCACCCGCAGGCCTCACAATCTATGGCTCTCAGTGATAGGACCGGGACTGTGGACGGAGAGGCGAGCAGGATACAAGGTCCGAGGCCGAGAGACGGCAGGGGTGCTTCCGCACTCCACCCCACACACACACACATTAACCAAGTCAAACAATGTTGGCTGAAAGAGCTCCAAAAGCTATCCAGCCATAGCGAGAGGCTTAGATTCACTGGTTAGTAAATCTTCCACTGAGTAAGTTTTGGACGGCTGCCTGAAGAGCCAGGAAGGCCTAGTTTCAGCAAGGACAAAGCCACACCAAACCCGAGACCCTTCAGAATGGAAGGTGTTCTCTTTACGTGTTCTAGAACACGGATAAATAATAAAACATACACCTTGTTACTAACTGCTTAGACTTCCTGCTCAGACATCAGCTACATCGACCAGACTTTGCTTGAGCCCCATCATTACGTAGAGAAGTGTTATCAAGTCGCCGCCAACTTATGCCGATCCCAGCAAGGGGCCTACAAGGCAAGTGAGAGGCAGAGGTGCCACTGCCTTCCTCTGCAGAGTCTTTCTTGGTGGTCTCCCATCCAAGTACAGACCCTGCATAGCTTCCAGGATCTGACGAGATCAAGCTATACCGTGCCGCCTTCCCCTCTCGCACGAGCCATGACTAGCTCTTCTGGACAACGCAGGCTGATGTCCACGTGGAGGAGATCCATGGAAAACCATCACCGTGCATCCAAACACCAGAAGACGGGGATCTGCCATCTCTCAGACCAGCGCTGCGGCAGGCCAGGAGGAAGAGGAGTCCAATTGGACAGGCGTGGGCTGGGACTCCAGTGGAAGGTGAACCTCCCCGGCAGCACTGCCAGGGCAGTTCTCTTTGGACTGGGGCAGTGGGATGCACCCCTCTTCAACCTGCAGTGCCCCAAACTGCCACCTAGCTGGGTTCCACCAACGAGCTGGCCTGGCTGAAAGCTGGAAACGACCCTGGCCCAGCCAGGCTTGAAAAGCCAGCAGCTAAAGTGAACGGGAAAGAAAATCCGTCCTCTGCCCTTGATCGGCTGCCAGGAGAAGAGGCCCCAACAAGGGAAGCCAGCAGGTTCTCACTGGCTCCAGGCTCCTCTCGATGTGACGGGGGCAGCCGCGGGTGCTTGTTTATCTCTCTGCCCTGCTCATGTGTGAACCAGGGATCGGGGCCTGTTTGGTTACTCAAAGAGAAGTGCCCAAGCGAGGACAGCAAACTTTCTCGTGGCTGCGTCAGAACAAATCCCCACTTCGGCACTGAAGATCGCCTGCAGTACCATCCTCAGTAGAGACCCACAAGGGATGGTTTTTTTGGTGGTGGGGGGAATAAGCTTTTGAGCGTCAAAGCTCTCTTTGTCAGATACCTTGACCCTTAAAAGCTTATACCCTGAAAATCTTTTTTTCTTTTGGCGTTTATAGAATTTTAGTTTTAAAGTAATCAGCTTTCTTACACAGCTTCACAGAAGTTAAAATTCAATTCTGTATAACAGTTTATTTTTTTACTAAAACAAACAAACATACACAAATCAGGTTCCATTTCATCATTAAAGTTACATATCTCATACAATGTCTAAATATCTCTTTTCTACATTCCACCTTATTTTTATGTATATTCTTTTGCAGTTGATTTAAAATAAAGTTCCTGTCCCTTTCAAATTGGTCATATGTCAGTCTAATTTATAAGATCTGAACTCTCCAAAGCTGTATAAAGACTCTGTGGGGAGTCTAGTTGGAGGGGAGAAGAGAACAATACATGCTTTTAATTGCCAGTTAACTGCCCAAAAAATCCCAAGTAGGTTTTGGCTGAGTTAGATGTACCAACTTTTCCATGTTTTCGTGAAATGTGGCAATTGCTTTTTCCGAATTCTACAGCTATCGTAATAAGCAGGAAGAGACTGAAGATGGCGGGTGGCATCCTCCCATTTGGTTCATCGGTGTTCCCTCTCGCATCGGAGGAGGACACAGTCAACCAAAAATCTCGTGGGTTTCCAAGGTGCCACAGGAACTCCAACCCAGCCGTTCTGCTGCCGACCAGCACAGCTAACCTCTGAAGAGTCACCCCCCTTCTAAGTCCACTGAAGTCAACAGGCTTAGAGAGGTGTGACTTTGCGCGAGATGGTACTGCGGGCCAGCCTGGGCTACGGGATCTCAGCCTAGCCTATGAAGCCAGAGTGGGATAGCGTTCCGAGTGTCCGACTAGGGTCTGGGAGACGGATTTGAAGCCCCACCCGTCCACAGAAGTTCACTGGGTGACCTTGGCCCAGTCACACACTCTCAGCCTGCTGTTTGCAGCTTTGGTTATATATATTTCTGCCAACTGAATGCGGCACTTCATGCACCTGACGGAGTGTTCCGTAGCCCACAAAAGCTTCCGCCACAATAAATGTGTTAGTCTTTCAGGTGCCACAAGATTCTCCGTTAACTTTCCCTGCTGAATACTAACGCCGCTAGCCCTCAGGGACAGATCTCGCTAGCCACGAAGCTAGTCTAGATAAAGCAATGCAAGGGTTGTCAACTTCACAACAGCAACCACTTCCTCAGTGATGCAATCTTCTAGTCTCAGTGCAGGGACCCTGCCTCAGTCAGCGTAGCACAGCAGACTGGGGAGACGTGGGTTCGAACCCCTCCTGGCCACGAAACCTACTGGGTGGCTGTGGTTCAGTCATTCTCTCTCAGCCTAACCTACCTTGCAGAGTTGTTGTGAACATAAAGTAGCAGGGGGAGAATCACGTACGCTGCACTCAGCTCCTTGGAAGAGACGCAGGTTAAAAATGTTCTAACTAAAATGCATTAACATTTCCCAAGCCAGAACATTCAAGTTTGCGAAGCCGGTGAAACCAGTGACCATGGTGGAACTGGTGTGGTGGGAGGAGGCTTAGTACATCTACCTGGCTAATCCAGCAAGCTGTTATCAACACAACCCAGCCTGCAGCAGAAAATCCTATACACACCGAGTTAGGGGTAGACCCCTCCTGAACCCAGCGAGCCATACTTCAGAGTAAGCCTGATCCTATGCATTTTATCAAGGGCAATTTAATCTGTCTTACCCGAAGGCTTTGGAGCACTGCCTTCTGGAGGTTTAGTGCACAACCTTCTGTTGATCTGCCACCGCGTTGCTTTAGTCATCTGCGGAACGGAAAGGGCATTTCGGTCCAAGAGCCTAACAAGTTTACCTGGGGGGGTAGAACATACAGAGGGTTTGTTGGGGAGAAGCAGTGTACAAAAACACCAACCCTGCAGAGCAGTATTGTGGTTAGAGAGCATAGATTGAGATCTGGGAGAGGAGCCCCAGCGCAAGGGGCTTGGGATTGCCAGCTCTGGGTTTGGAAATACCTGGAAATTTTGGAGGTGGAGCCCGGGGTGGAACCTCAGCAGGGTACAGTGCCATAGAGTCCACCCTCCAAAGCAGCCATTTCCTCCAGGAGAACGGACCTCTGTGATCAGGAGAGCAATTGTAACACTGGGAGGTCTCCAGGCCCCACCTGGAGGCTGGCAACCCCAGCGGGGGCAGAGCATCTGCTTTGTAAGCAAAGGGTCCCAGATTCAATTTCTGACATGCAAGATGTCCCAGGTTCAATCCTCAGCCCCTCTAGTTATGGCAGCAGGGAAAGCTCCTGAGACGCCCCCCG